GAAGTGACCAGTTCTATTTAAGTGAAACTATCTTGGCACGATTACCAACTCTATATTAGTTATAAAAATTAAATATCTATAAAATATAGAATGAAACCATGCATTATGGATAGATGTTTCATTTATTTTACATGATGTGGCAGCCACGAGACTCTCCATTGATAAATAACGGTCTTACCGTGAATGTTTTAAAGTAGCGTAAATGGATATGAATTACACGCGTGCATGGAAAGTTGAGAATGATTTGCGTAGCTTAGCCAACAATCAAAAGGAGATACTGCCTAGAGCAGCCAGCCCAAAAAAAAAAAGTCTTGACATGACAAATGCAAATGCGCGATGGAAGAGTGTAAATCATAGTTTTTTTTTTTTTGGAAAGGGCATAAAGCATAGCTTGTTAGGCGATCCACGAGTCGCATAGTAGGCTAGTTCCGATTGATCAATCTTGGTTTTAAAATTGATACTCGCCTTATTTGGCACAATGATTGAATTATTCATTTCTTCTTTATGACTTCTAAATAGCTTTTATGATATGGGACCGTGGATTGCGTGACTCAATGGCGTAACTCACAAATCAAATAGAAAAGCATGGATAGGATAACAACGTCATCGAGGAAGAACGCTTCAATATGCATTCATGACTAAGCACTTCTTTTCCATGAAAGAAAGCTGACTGTATGGAGCTAGTTATTTTTAATAAAACACCTTAATACAACTCTTCTTTTGGAGAATCGACTCAACAAGCTAAGATTCCACCATAATAAATCCGTTTTCAAAACACGTACAGTACCCCAAAAAAAACGCTCATATACATGCATCCTATGAATGTACACAAGCACACACACTATCCTATTTATAAGTACATTTGAGAGGCTAACAGATCTTGAGATTAGTGAAATCATCACAAACGCCTTGCTATTAGTGAATACGTTGTCTACTACCAAAAAATATCATCGTTGAATCCTGAAATAAATCTAAGAAAATATGAGCATTATAGCTAAACAATATTAATGTTGAGAACTGAGTATATATTGGCTAAGATCCTAGTCAATATTAATGTTAATATTGAGAACTCAGTATATATTGGTTAGGATCCTGGGTTCGTACCGAGGAGTCTAGTCATCTGAATATGAGACTCGAGCTCGGTATGAATTAAGGCCTTTTTTTTTGGCACAACTCTAAATAGCTCCGACTCTTTGCTAAAGTGCGCAGAGGAGCTGGAGTGGAGCTGGTAAATAGACCTAAGCATTTTACGGGCTAGGACAAAAAAACCCTTGTCTATTTCGTGCCAAAAAAATACCATCCATGACCGTCCCAGCGGATGAATCGGGCCTAATTTTTCGGCAGTGTAAACTAGCTAAAATAAATATTTCAGACGGGGCTCGGACCGAGAAAAAAGTTTATGGGTAGCGGGATCTCTATCTAGGCCCTGCCCACTAAGGTTCGTGGGTGGACCAAAATTTAGCGGGCTCAGACCAGACCCGCAAGCTAGGGCGGGCTCATTTTGCTCAGGTCTATGGCTTCACCTGCTCCTAGTTCATTTTGAGATGAAAGAGAAAAAGATCTTTGCTACAGTGCACAAAGAAGCCGAAGGCGGAGCCGTCCAACGTTCTACCAAAAAGGACCTAAATTTTGGAAAAGAAACAGTACATCAACACGATGAATTAAGTTTGGTTGGCTTCTTTTGCAGTAACTGTTTAGCTCTTTTCTCGCTTCTTCTCTTATGTCATAGATACAAGATACTACATCTAATCACAGGAACAATAATGTTGTCCTCTACTTTTATATATATCAGATGTCTGATTTTTTGTTGTTATTGCTCAATGAACATATAATTTTATCATTATTTTGCTATTAGAGAAATATAAATTATCTCTTATGTTCTATTCTTTTAGTTGTACTAGTTGGTTTTATCCAGTTCTCATATGATATTTTAGTATTATCCTAAGTCAAATTTCTCTAATCTTAATCGTGTTTATAGAAAAATGTATTAACACCGATAATACCGAATAAAACACTATCAAGGCTTAATTATTAGTGATTGTAATAACATCTAATTGATGTGATACATGTTAGTAAATTTTTACATAATTATTAAAATTAGAGAAATTTCAGTTTGAGACAACTAAAATGATCTACAGTTTGTAACGGATGGAGCAACATCTTTCTATGCCTCTTACCTACCACCATTGCTTGATCCCAACATGCATGTGCGTCCTAATCAAATAATTGGACCGCCAGGCTTCGATTAGCCATGCCTTTTACTTTATCCGGCTGCACTGCAGACGTTAGAAAAACATAGGTTCCCGCGTGCTTGTCCATTTGAAAATAGCACTTCAATCAGATTCCACATAGAAGCACTACTAATAGTAACACTGTCCATTCGCAGGTGTTTTTTTTTTAATTAAAATGGGTACCGATAAGCACGATCAGTCTGCTGAAAATGAGTGATCATCAAAAGCACTATAGAATAAAAAATCATCATAACAAAATAGCAAACCAAAAGGTCTTTCCTTCTAGATTTAGTAACCAAGCATCAGGACAGTCGACAGTGGTTGGAGGTTGGCGCTACTACATTGCGATCCACCATGGATGAGGCAGCAGAGACAGAGAGGACGCCTGTCTTCCTCGACAGATTTAGTCGATTTGATGAGCACAAAACAAGTGCCAATCTGCAGCACCAGAAAGCTCGTCGGCGACGTGCTGGTCGGAGGTGACAGGATGCACGACGAGGATTGATTTTGTCTGGAGGCGAAGGGGGCCGTGCTGTCTCTCGTTCTCGTCTCGGCTTTCTTTCTCATCGCCATTTTTCTTAGTGATCTTGGCCTGTGATGATACTCCGTCACTTTTTCGTTGTTGTTGGAATGTTGGTGTTTGGAAACGGTGATCCTTGGCAATTGTGGAAGTGGTGGCATTTCAGATTGGACATGTGCCCCTACACTTTGTGCTGCTGCCACTTGCAGTGCTTTCAGAAATCCATGATATTCAGGTGACATCTGTAATAACTAATAATCAATGAAACCAACACTCATTTTTACTGAAATAGAGGATCTCTCGAGCATACTAGAAGATAGACACGCGTTGTAAATGTCAGGGCTTGCACTGGACCTGCAGAAATGGCTAGAATAACAGAGGAATTATTCTAGAGGGAGTGATGATTGTTGGCTGGGGCATCATAACGTGTACTGAGCAGGTGCAGCAGAGTATAACTAACAAAATGCAGATTAGATTGCAATTATGGTTGGCCCTGGGAATAAAAATGTACACTACCAGGCTGACAAATCGTAACACCTCTTTTGTCTTGTGAAGTTGTGCTAGTCAGCAGTAGACAGTCACTATGCTCGCAAGTATTCTAGTGCACAACTGCTAATTCACCTGCCCATATTTTACGATATTAAAATACGACAGCCGTTAGAAGTTTATCATCATCATATAATCGGGGCCTGTCAACAACATAGTTTCAGTTTGGGAACACTTGGATGGCTGGATAAAAAACTGAAAATGCCAAGCGGAACAGATACTCGATCACTTGGAGGTCACTTCTGGCATTTCTCTGCACACATCACCCAGCCTAGAGCTGCACACATCATGGCGTAGAAACTGGACTGAGCTCAGCTGAGCAACACTCGTCTCGAAGCCTCGAAGTCTTCGCACGCATGTGCAGCTCTTTCTGCAGGCGAGGACAGTCCAGATTTCTGAGAAAAAAAAGGCAAAACACGGCCGGCTTGGCGTGTTGGTTCAACCAATCGCGATAAACTAAGCACCGCGCGCATGCATACGAAATTTCCAACGCGATCCGGTGAAGTAATGATGACTTGACTGGGTCAAGATTTCCCACAGCTCCAATCGTGACAAGAGCAGAAGGCACAAGCCAAAACAGATACTCTGATTCCCCTGTGAATTATTGTGCTGACAAAATTCAGTGGTTGCAGTGAAGGTGAGTGTTCGCAGCAAGAGCGGGGCATGCCTCCTTGATCCTGTCGCTAGCAAATCCCCGTTGCTGAAAATTGAAATGCTGAAAACGTCTACTCGTAAGCTTGTATATCAAACTTCCATCTGTGATCTGTCTGCTAGAGTTCCAGGCCATTGGCCAATCATTTCTCTGTAGTATTGCTGCTGCATCAGACATCTCAACTTGGATGATACTACTGAATCTTCGGTTCATCAGAAATTTACCGGGCGTTTTCAGTGGTACTTACGGCAGTTAAATTAATGCAAAGACCATAGCCAGTCCCCAGTCAGTCAGAACTCAGAAATTCAGAACATGTAGATCGGTCTCTACGGCACGTCCCCGGTCTCTACGGCACGTCCCCGAAGCTTGCAAGTTTATAAGCCGGTCTATAAGTCGTTTGTGCTGATTTGTACGACTGATTTGTTGAGAGAGAAAAATACTGTTCCATAGCTGATAAGCCAGCTTATAGTCGGCTTATAATGGCAGCCGAACACGCCAAATTCAGCATAAGACGGCGGTTAATGCATCATTAATTGCTTCAAGGCTGCTCAAGCCTCAAGCATCGCCGTGTCAGTTGTCACGTCAGCCTAAGCCTCTCTCCGCCGCGACTGCGACTGCGGCCAGGACCACGATTTCTCGCCCAAGAACGTGCGTGCGTGCCCGACAGGAAGAAGGGGGTAATGTTCACGCAAAAGCAACGCATCCGGTTTGCCGTGGATCGGAGCGGACATCGATCGTCGCATCCCCTCGCCGAACGTCGCGTCAGATCGGATGGAAGATTTGAATCGGGGTCGACGGCGACGGAAGAGTGAAATGGCGGTCCAGCCGTCCAAGAGATGGGACAGCGCGGAGGGAAGCAACACCGGCGTCACGCGTGGGAGGAACCCCAACGAGCGCGTGACGCGTTTTCCCGGGGCAATGATCGGAGTCGGCGACGGCCCCGGCAAGTGACGCCTGATGACAAGTCTCACGCTGCTCCTGTCGATTTCTATTTTCTACGTGTTGATTGATTTGCAAACACGAAAGAAGCCGAGCGACTAGTATGCACCCCTCATGAATAAAGCCCATGGTGTTTGAGCCCATGGGCCGTAGCCCACATGAAACGAAAGCCTAAAGAAGTAGCAAAACAAAGTTGACGTTCAGACATGAATTTCCATTCTTTTCGTGTGGTTTCGATGTACAAGTGTAGATATTTAAAGAATATAGCATATAACGATCTTTTAGCAGGATATTCAGGAGGAAAGAATCAGTGGGTTACAGAAATCATGTTTCTCTATCGTCAAGACTATATTGTAGGTCTATGTGGCATGAACTCATCATTGACAAGTTGGTTCCTCAATACGGCTGGGGAGATCAACCTCCAGACTGCAAAGGTGAAGACCTCAACGTTAGCAGCTTCTTAGTTGTCTACAATACAGAACCTTTTAGCAAACATAACTGGATGGCAGACAACGGGGAATAGGCGACTTACTGTATATGCTAGCCGCGAACCACTCGTTGATGATCTTCACCCATGTACTAGCCCATCCAACATCTATGCTCCACCTGATTATGAAATGAAGGATGTGAGAGTTGGAGGATGTAACCAAATGCTTCTTCTGTTGTCTACGATGATGTAGCAAAGGAAAATCACGCAGTATGCCACTGATGACTTGAAATGCGATTTTGATTTGATTCCAGAGTAAGTATGCATATTGCCCCTTAAAATCATATGGACTACTGAGCAGCTATTTAATTGCGTGACGGTAGGATATCTTACTTTCGTGTTGGATGATTAAGCTCCCAGCTAATGAACAGCACTGCAAAATACATAGCTCCCATTGCAAATACAATGTGGAAAATCTCATAGCTGTAGAGGGTGTCCTCTTCCAATTGTACTTCATCATTCCGAAACTGAAAATGATCAGTTTTCGTTAATACGCTGGATAAAGGTACCACTTCTAAGTTCTGAAGAAATTCTTCAAGTCAATAGTGATTAACAAGTGAAGAGTGATTTATTTTTCTTCAGTTCTCATGAGAACTGTGATTTGACCAAAAACATGTGAATTATCATCAAATGGTCATTTTGACACTTTCAAGTAACTTGGCCAATGGTATCCCTAAAGAAGTGAAGAGTGATTTATTTTTCAATCTTACATGCAAATACCTGCATAACTGCTGAGTGCTGATTGATAACTTATAAACCGGAAGACAGGATCACATTTACATCAGTTGAGAACATCTTAACTACCCAGTGATGCCAGAAAATAAAAAATGCGAATATCATAGAGAAAATTTGAGGGTAATAAGCTTACTTGGAAGGATTTGGTGTCGATTCCAGTAGAAAACGTGGCCATTACAATGGAACAAATTGCGATAATGAAGCTCTAGAAAAGCACAACTTCAATCAGGTAATGTCAATGGCATAACTATTCAAAAGAGCTCTGATCTTTTACTTACAATGATAGTAGCTGAATCACCATCCTTGGTAATTTTCATATGAGAGTGGCACTTGCCGGTTTGCGGCTCACTGCACATGTGCATAGTATGAAATTAACATCAAGCAAACTGAACTATAGAAGGCTATGTTTACAGAACACTGAATGAAAGGAAACATTAGCACAGAATACTTTGCAGTATGGAAGTGGAAACTCTTCTGAGGAATACCAAAACTACAAACTCCTCAACAGTTCCAAGTGACGTAGACTAACCTGTGTAGTGCAGACCAACAAAGGAAGACAATATAGGAACTCATGATCCCAGAAGAGAGAAGAGCCTCGTTAGCCTTCTCAGCAAACAAAGTGAACTAAAATCAAGGCCTCATACATATCAGGCAGGGTAAAAACTCAAAAGTTTTACAGAGACTTTTACTTGTTAGTTGCCGTAATGCTCAGATGTGCTAATAGAAACAAGGCTACTATCAGGATTGCAGTTTGATATTCACATCCGAAATCTGACACTGGTTTTAAACTCAACATAAGCTACAGCTAAGACCTGGTGCTGCTTGCATCCTCGTACCTTGGAGTGCAGTGAGACTGCCAATTCCAAGAAATGAAGCAATGTAGGAGATGGTTGACAAGAATAATCCAAACAACCCACTGAGAATCACATAAGGGTAACATGCCATGGTCAGTTATAGGTTGAGGACCTGAAAACTGAAGTAATTGGAACGCCACAACTTCCAGCACAACTAAATCAATCCTTACCATTGACTTGATCCAGGATCTGGCATCCAACGTTTATTGCACCATGATATGAAGTGGAGCGTGCTTATGAGCTGGAGGAGGAGAAATATCCTGGAGGGACAAATGAAACAGAAGTAACATGTTTACTATAAATAAGACTACAATCTGAAACAAATGTAAATATTGTTCATTAGGGCTTGAAACATCCCAAATTTGAGCAATATAAGGACTGCCATTTAAATTACCCGGCACCCAGTCGAGCAATTTCACCTGCAGATAGAACAAAATAGTTTTCTTTCAGCGTGCTAAAATTTAAGTATGGATACACTGGTGGAAATGTATACAAGGACCACTACAACAAAACTGAAACTTGCATTTTTTTTATCATATTTTGAACTTTCCAGAGCAAGGAATTGTGAATTGATTGGCCTTTCTAAGCACTAATTTCTCATACAAGCTAGGTCCTATGAAGTAAAACAAAATTTCCAGTTTATAACTGCTGTGCATTCACTTATGGCCATCATATCCTACACCTACAGCAACTACATTTGCCACAGTACTGGATTGAACTTACCATAAAGTTGGATGAAGATGTTAGGGATGATAAATGGGATGCCGATCGACATGGAATACACAAGAGACTTCAGAATCCAGCATCCAGAATGCCACGAATTACGAGCTTCATGGAGCTTGCGAGTTCCAAATGTCGTGGCAAACATCACCCAGAAAAATATCTGAACATTTGTTTTAAGGAAGTGAAAAACCCAAGAACACAGCACGCCTTCAAAATGTCAAACGTTTAGTAGTTCTAGAACCACTGAACCAGGGCATTTATAATCATGAATCCTTGATCATGCCCTTTTAGGCTTTTAGACAGGTTGTTCCAGCAGATTTTAGGAATTTAGTTCAAATCTGTACAACATACTAGCAACTGGATGCAGAAAACCCCATTCCGAACGGGCCCTAGTTTGGTCCAGGACTCTGAAAGACTGGTAGTTGAGAACATTCGAGCTGCATGCCTCGTATAAACAATGGACAAGCCTATCAGTTTTTTTTTTGTCACCTCTCATCTGGATATACTATAGCATCTGTTCGCATACAGACACACCTACACCACACACACGAACACCACACTCACACCACTGGTACACGAGCAGACCTACAACTATACACAGATATGAAGACGAATCCTAGGGAGATCACCAGAAACCAGCAGGCTTTGTTACAGTCCCTTTGTGACACACTACTGGAAACAGAGACTTTGCCGAGTGTCAAAAATCGGGCACTCGGCAAAGAATTGCACTCGGCAAAGGACTTCTTTGTCGAGTGCCAGACTCTCGGCAAAAGCGCGGCACTCGGCATAGGTTGACCCGCGTAACGGTGTTCGACCACGTTCTTCTTTGCCGAGTGCCTAACGGCACTTGGCAAAGATTTATTTATTTTTTTAAAAAAATTCTTTACCGAGTGTCCTAGATTAGCACTCGGCAAAGATTTATTTTTTTTAAAATTTCTCTACCGAGTGTCCCAGATCTGGCACTCGGTAAATTTTTTTTTGAAAAATGCTTTAATTTTTTTAAAAAAATGTCTTTGCCGAGTGCCCTGTGAAGGCACTCGGCAAAGTGGAAATTTAAAAAAAAAAAATCAAAACCCTCTTTGCCGAGTGTCTTATCCGTGGCACTCGGCAAAGACCCCCTCTGCCGAGTGCCATGTCCCGGCACTCGGCAAAGTTTTTTTTTTGTTTTTGGCCTCCAAATTTTTTGTACAGCCCTTTTAAAGCACCAGGAACTTAGGGGTTTTTATAGTTTTTTGATATATTTAGTTACTTTATTTCATTTACTTGATTTTTTTCGAAAAATATAATTTTAAACTGCACGTGGTACGAATAATGGAATTTAATGATTCAAAAAATGATAGTCATGTTACTGAGTGTATTGTGCGGCCGTATCCAGGAATGGATCTGAAATTTCGAACATCTTGTTCATGAAACATGACCGCGAACTTGCGTGCAAAGTGTTTTTAAATTTTATAAAAAGCAAACGAAGTCCGAAAATCATGAAACTTGTTGAGATGTCGTGATATCATATGTGGAGGCTATGATAAAAATGTTAGAAGATTTCGTACACATTGTCACATACGATGCTTACAAAATAGGACATCTCTACATGCATGTTTGATATCACATGCAGAAATGTCCTGGTTTGTAAACATCGTACGTGACAACGTGGATGAAATCTTCTGAAATTTTTATCATAGCCTCCACATATGATATCACAGCATCTCAATAAGTTTCATAATTTTCGGACTTCGTTTGCTTTTTATAGAATTTAAAAACACTTCGCACGCAAGTTCGCGGTCATGTTTCGTGAACAAGATGTCCGAAATTTCGGGTCCGTTCCTAGATACGGCCTCACACTACACTCAGTAACATGACTATCATTTTTTGAATCATTAAATTCCATTATTCGTACCACGTGCAGTTCAAAATTATATTTTCCGAAAAAATTCAAGTAAATGAAATAAAGTAACTAAATATATCAAAAAGCCATAAAAATCCCAAATTTCTAATTAGGAGTTCATGGTGTTTTAAAAGGGCTGCCCAAAATATTTGGAGGCCAACAACAAAAAAAAAACTTTGCTGAGTGTCACGGATAAGGCACTCGGCAAAGAGGGTTTTAATTTTTTTTTAAAATTTCCTCTTTGCCGAGTGCCTTCACAGGGCACTCGGCGGAGACATTTTTTTTCAAAAAATAAATCTTTGCTGAGTGCCGTGCTAGGGACACTCGCCAAAGTATTTTTCAAAAAGAAAAGACATTTAAAAAAAAATCTTTGCCGAGTGCCGTGCCAGGAGCACTCGGCAAAGTATTTTTCAAATTTTTTTTGAAAGAGTGCCAGATCAGGGACACTCGGCAAAGAAATTTTAAAAAAATTTAAATCTTTGCCGAGTGCCAGATCTGGAACACTCGGTAAATAATTTTTTTTTAAAAAAATTAAATCTTTGCCGAGTGCCTCCCTGATCCGGCACTCGACAAAGAGCGGTTCTGGGACTTAAGCAAATTTCCAGTCGGCCAGGCGGTCAAGCTATGACACCACCCGGCCCAGCCACACGACATGCGCCGCCTTGCCGCCCCGCCCGTGCCACGCCGCCGCCGCCGCCTGGCCCGGCCGCCCGCACCTGCCCACAGCGTGCCCTGCCTCCTCGCCCGCCCAGCCCTACCCCTCGCTCACCACCTTTGATCGCGCTCGTGCCGTGCGAGGCCCGTTCGACGACTCAAGCGACCCGACCGACCCGGCCCCCGACGCCTGACTACCCGGCGCCCGTCAGGTATGCCTTCTCTCTTTTTATTGTCGTGGTAGTGATAGTTGTAGTAGTATTAGTTGTACTAGTAGTGCTAGTGCTAGTAGTAGTATTAGAAGTAGTGGTAGTAGTAGTACAACTAGTGGTAGTAGTAGAAGTAGTAGAAGTAGTGGTAGTAGTAGTAGAAGAACTAGTGGTAGTAGTTGTAGCAATAGTGGTGGTAGTAGTAGTAGAACTAGTTGTAGTAGTAGTAGCAATAGTGGAAGTAGTAGTAGAAGTAGTGGTACTACTTGGATATATTCTTCTGCATGGATTGATATCCAAATTACATGGCTTCTCTTGAGACATATGTGCTTGTCGGCCATCGTGCCGCTGTTTTTGTAGGTTTTGGAAACCTCACCGTGCAGGGGAGGTTCTGTCGATTTTTTTAAATAACAGTATTTTGTTCCATTTTTGTAGAGAAGAGCCCGTCGGAGCCGAGTCGGAGTTCCCGTCGCCGTGCCGGTCTGCCTGCACCGCGCTGCCTCGCCGCTGCACCGACCCGCCACGACCCCGCTAGCCTGACTCTGCCGTCACCCTAGGTATAACCTCTCTTTCCGTATCATGGTCGTAGATCGCGTAACCTAGTTAGGCGTCTCCCGTTCGAAAGAGATACGGTTGGGGGTATGTAGATCTTTGCATATCTATGACTGTATCTATTTCAGATTGTCTATGTTTTTTGGACAGCCCGCGGATGCGTAGATGGGTTAGTTTCCATGGTCTGCTCCGGTCCGAGACAGAGTTTCGGCATCACCTCCCTGTTGCTCTCCGGATACGCACTCTTCTTTGGCAGGACATGTATCTGGAGAACAGCGGGGAGGTGCTGCCGAAATTCTGTCTCGGATAGGAGCAGAGCATGGAAACTAATCTCATCTACGCATCCGTGGGTGGGATTATGACCTATCTTCATCTATTAGATAGTAGGAACACCATGTAGATGCAATTGATGGTTACATTACTCGCTGATACATATGTTAGAGGATGGATGACCGTTAGTGGATGTACACGGGCTGGAGAAGTTAGAGTGATTACACCACGGAATGGATGAACAAGACTGATGCTTTCTTGAACAGTGCATTTGGCAAGGCTGCTAAAGGACATTGTCTAGTTTTGTGTCCCTGCAGCAAATGTGGAAACAGGAGGAGGGTAAATAAGGTGGAAATGGGTAAACATCTTATGAAGAATGGATTTACGCCGGACTACACCCAGTGGGTCCACCATGGTGAAGCCCATCGTATGAGAGAGGAGGTGGTGAGACCATGGGTGGAGGCTTTTGATGCTGATGCCGGGGTACCAGATATGTTAGATGACTTTCACCAAGGACAGTTCGATGAGGGACGTGAGAAGGAGGAGATGGAGGCAGCCGCATAGGCGTTCTACGACATGATGGACTCGGCACAGAAACCCCTTCACGATCGGTCAATGGTGTCTCAACTGGATGCCATTGGACGCTTAATGGGGTTAAAGTCCGAGTTAAACTTGAGTCGACCTGGCTTCGATAAGATGTTGGCCATGATTGGCACCCTACTTCTAGAGGGCCACATTCTGCCAAAGAGCATGTACGAGTCACAAAAACTCCTTCGAGCACTTAAGATGCCATATGAGCAGATACATGCTTGTCTGAAGGGGTGCGTCCTATTTAGGAAAGAACACGAGCATGCAAAGTTCTGACCAAAGTGTAAATCCTCCAAGTACCTGGAGGTAGACTCTGATGATGGCCAGAAGAGGCAACTTACGATCCCTGTGAAAATCCTACGGTACCTTCCGTTTCTACCAAGGATCCAATGGCTATACATGACCAAGGAATCCACGAAACAGATGACATGGCACAAAAATGGAAAACGGTACAATCCTGACAAGATGGTACATCCATCCGATGGTGAAGCTTGGATCCGCTTTAATGACAAACATCGTGACAAAGCAGATGAGGCTCGTAATGTACATGTCACGCTGGCAACAGATGGGTTCAATCCTTATAGAATGATGGCTGACCCATACACATGTTGGCCCATCTTCGTTATCCCCCTTAATCTCCCCCCGATGTCTCCTTTCAACAACATAACGTATTCTTGTCGTTGATAATTCCTGGACACCCAGGGAGTAATATGGGTGTGTTCATGGAGTCCGTGTTTGATGAATTGGTTCGTGCTTGGGACGAAGGGGTATGGACATACGATCGAGCTACAAAGACAACCTTCAAAATGCACGTTTGGTACCACTACTCCCTGCATGACTTCCTGGCATATGGGATATTCTACGCCTGGTGTGTTCACGGAAAGTTCCCTTGCCCAATATGCAAGGAAGGTGTGAGGTTCATTTGGTTGCAGAAGGGTGGCAAGTATTCATCGTTCGACAGACATCGTCAATTCCTACCTCTTGACCATCCATTCAGACAAGACA